AACAAACCATGGTTCAAAGGGTTGGACATGAGCCGCGACTTTATACACGTTATATCAAGGCTTATGTCCAATCACTGCTCGTTAGACTCGCACTTCTATCGAATTGGGCTCTCAGACAGCAATTTATGTGCGTGTGGCAGTGGTTATCACGATATCGAGCATGTTGTTTGGTCATGTACCTTACACCGTGTTGCCAGATCTGAATTATCCACATCCCTCAGGGCCTGAGGAGAACAACCCGCGATACCCGTTAGAGATGTCTTGGCGAGCCGAGATCTCGACTATTGCAATTTAATTTATGTGTTTTTAAAACGGTTAGATCTGAGGATTTAGTAGTTAGTGCCATCTTGTGTTCTCCCAAGTTGTTAGCTGCCCATCGGTGTACCCCCATGTTTGTCTTTTTCATCAGAGTATCACTTAGTTTGAGATCAAGAGCACATTGCTCTCCAAACCTTGTGTTCACAATCCCTACCATGCCATCCATTTGTTACAATTTGTTACCCCTAACCTCGAGATAGCCGCGAGTAATCGGCTCCTGCTTTACTAACGTTAGTTTTAAGTAATTTTGTAATCTAATCAATGAATATCGGCTCCGCAAAGCTATAGAAAATGAGCCTGGAAAAAATAAACGCATTATAAAAAAATTATAGTTCTGCAAACTTTCAAGAAATAAGGTATAGCACTATGGTTATGTTTAAACATAATTACTTTATTCATCCTTTTCCCTTTATACAAATGCCCACACCTTTGCCTTGACAAGGCTCATTAGATTTTGGGCAATGGTGGAGCCAACTTTCGACAGTTTCAACCAGTCTTTCTTCAAATCCAGTTTACTCAGTGACCTTGTGGCGACCGATTTCGCCTACTGAGTAGAAAATCATGGGTTAAATCCCGAACTCCTTCACATCATAGAGCTATACCTTAAATCAACTTTATATAATAATATTATATAAAGCGTACTGATATTGAAGAGACGGGTACGTAAAAGAAGTAATAGGGTAGTGCGCTACTATGTCGTAATCGTCCATTTTCTTTCTATCGATCAGAAAAGATCAATAATATTAATGATTTCCCCGTGCAAAAATCAATAATAGGTTTGTTCCGATGCGTTAGTTCATTAGCTACAACATAAATCCTATTAGAGCGCATTGTATGAATATTTACGCTCATTGTTCTCAAAACAAAAGAAGCGCTCCTATGGAATCCCCTTCTTCTAAGTTTATCCATAGGACGTATAAAATCGTGGCGATTCAATGCGTTTGGACGGAATTGAATCTCGTAGGACGAATTTAGAATCAAGAAGCAGTATTAGATTTTGAACAATATCTCGTCAATGTGTGGCTCTTTATCAAATCCAACGGTACGTATGGAAAGGTGAATAAATTTAAAAGTCATCTTTGACAGAAATTTTTATTTTTTTATCAAACCCGTTCAAAAAAGAGAGGTAAAGCGCGGGCTTTGCTTAGTAGGACGGAAATTAGATCAAAAACCCTATATGAGATTTAGAAAAGACGCGTTGATCGGAAATCCATATCAAAACCTTCCCAAGAGAAGTTGTTGTCGGTGAGGTCGCCTATCGGTATCGAAACCTAATAACAACTTTATAGGAAAGTTTGAACATACTGAGAGGTAAGCACATATCATCGGTGAGAGACATGTGTGTGAGAAAATTTGCGAAAAAATCTAAGGGCACCGGTGGGATTCTACGGCCCGGTGGTCGGAGGTGAGGCCGGCAGCTCAAAATGTTAGAGTCATACTGTACTGGACATATTTCAGCATGTAAGATGAATAACAAAAAATGAGCTGTGTTTGTTCACATCGACTGATACTGAGTGGTTGCGGTACAAGCACATATCGTCGATAATAGACGATTGTTGTGTATCAGAGAACGCTTGCGCAAAAAGACTAGGGTGGGGAACGGATTCGAAACTCAAATGTCATTAGCCAAATACATCCGTAGACCATAGGTCCACCGTTGTATAATTGGCAATGCACCCGTGTACTGAATGGGAATTGTGGGTTCGAATCCCACCGGTGCCCTTAGATTTTTTCGCAAATTTTCTCACACACATGTCTCTCACCGATGATATGTGCTTACCTCTCAGTATGTTCAAACTTTCCTATAAACAATTAAATTGACTGCAAAGTCGCTAAACCGTAAAACCTAATAACAACAAGTTAAACGGACATTTTATCGTGATTGCTCTGTGATATTTGTAATACAAGGAGCTCGGTGGCCTATTAATATCCGATTTTGTTTACTGAGCAGAAGTCCATGGGTTCAAACCCAAGCTCCTTTGCGCTATTAATCGTTAGGACATCAATTCAGCATATCGTTCACCATAACTAATCCTGCTGTAATTCCAACCCTTTTATCCAACATCGTGGAAGTGCAGAGGTGTTCTCGGCTTTCTTTAAAGTGGGTATTACCATAGAGGTAACTCTAAGACTACTGGGTCCCGAAGAAAATCATTATTATTTTTGGCTCACTCAGTACCAGAACAACGGTCCCAAGCAGTCCCAAGCTATTTCACTCACCCCTGCATGTTCTGCATGAATCCACACACCCCTGATGTTATCTGTCAAACTTTCATAGCGAATCAAAACAAACATAGTGTAGTAATAGAATTTCAGCTAGAATAGGGTACGTTAATCGTTTGCTTGGGACCAATAGGCTACTAAAGTGGTGAGCCAATTTAAAATCGTTAGTTTCGTATTGATTGTTGGTATTACTATAGAGGTAACTCTAAGACTAGAAGGTCCCGAAGAAACGTGCTCAACTTTTTGGCTCAGCTCTGGTACTCTCTTCGGTCCCAAGCTAATCGATTCACCCCTCGAAAAATAGAAAAAATCCACTAACCCCTCATTTTATCTGTCAAACTTTCATAGCGAATCAAAACAAACATTGTGTAGTACTAGAATTTCGACTAGAATGGGGTACGTTAATCGTTTGCTTGGGACCAATAGGCTAGTCAAGTAGTGAGCCAATTTAAAATCGTTAGTTTCGTATTGATTGTTGGTATTACGTCAACATATTCCTACCCATTCCTTTCTTGACCAGCATTTCATGAGGGGCTGAAAAATGATTTTATAAAACTAATTTTTTTTACTGATTTCTGTCTGAACATCGTTTGACATGGGCATCGTAAAAATTAAAGAACAAAATAATCCTGAGTACGGCTCTGAGTGCATCGTTCAAAAGCACCAGCAAGAGGAACCAATAGAGGAAGCGATGGAGGTGCCGTTCGAAGAGGTGGTGACAATGGACGTTGCGTTGCCGGAGGAAGAAGAGAACAAACAAGAGCAAGCAAACGAAGCCCATCCATTTGTGTTCAAGTTTCCAAGCGACAAATATTATTACACTGGAACCTCCATGTACGAACCAAACCGGTGGTTCGTAAATCGAATAAGTGCGTAAAAAACTCATTATTTTGGATTTACCTCCGTCATAAAAAAAAACTCGTTATTTGGGATTTTCTTCTTAAAAAGAAGTTTTTGAAAATATTGTTAAATACCCAAAATATTGGATTTTTTGGAACCGGAGTGACATATAGGAACAGGAAATCGATGTCTGACGCCATTTTTAAATTCAAGATGGCGGCTTCCGGATACAGAAAAACAGAAACATACTCTTAAATAACCCACATCTTATCTTTGAAATCAGGGAGACGTGTTAGAACCGGAAATCCATACCAAGCGCCATTTTGAAATCCCATATAGCGGTTTCAGGTTAGAGAAAAACAGAAAAATACTGTTTAATAACCCACAATATGGATAGTTTTGGAATCAGGGTGACGTGTAAGAATCAGTAGCCTATGTCTGACACCATTTTGGAATCTAAGATGACGGCATCGGGTTACATCAATGCTTGGAAATTCTATCAAATACTCCACAATATGGATATATTTTAAATCGGGGGGACGTATGAGCACTGAAAACCAATACCTGATGCCTTTTTAAAATTTAAGATGGCGGTTTCCAGTTATAGCAAAATAGAAAAATACTGTAAAATAACCCATGATATGGGCATCTTTGGAATCGGGGTGACGCTCTAGAACCGGATATTTATGTCTGACACCATTTTGATATTCGATTTCTATATTGCGGGGTATTTGACAGAATTTCCAAGCTTTTTCAAGGATTTCAAAATGACGTCATACATCAAATTCCGGTCCCTACACGTCATTCCGATTCCAAAATTACCCAGATTGTGGGGTATGCATTACTCCAGTGCCCTTTCTACCACCGCTAGTCACTTCAAAGTGAACACAGCAATCAAATATAATATTTTTCAATCAATGTTATTTATGATGATGTATTGAATAGGTGATTGGTTATTACACTCATCGAAATTATTAACAAATTTTGTTCTCAAATTCAAGCGTTTAGCGTAATATTACACAGCAAGTGGAATGTGTAGTTGTTTGGATGTAATTTTCAATAACTTTTTTACTGTATTCCTAAGATTAGTATGTGGTATGTTGCTGACATCTACTAAAATTACCTTAAAAAGGACTGTCATCACTGATAAATTCGAAATATGGTGGCTTGATTATCGCTTCGGAGGAGCCACTAAGAGATTTGCGAACACATTCCCAACCCTTATTTGCGAAGAATGTGACTGTGAGAGTTATGTTTGGTTTTCTGTGCTATAGGTACAAGTTACACAGCCAAGCTAACAGCTAACGCTTCCAGATTCTGTGTAAGAGAAGGATCGGAAAAGGTATGAAGGTAAAGTGGCTGGCTCTGACGAAATAAAAAAACATAATGTGAACTCAGGAGAAGCAGACGTTAAATCGCCACCCAGAAAAAAAACATTGTTCATCGACTCCGTAGAGTTTATATTTAGACTGCTGAGCTTTACTAAATTAATCATTGTTAGAGTAGGTGTTGGAACATTATCCACTTTAATTCTATATTATATTTCACTGTTGATCAGTCATAGGGGACATGGCTCCAATGTTGGCCTATGGATCTAAGATTGGGCCCATCGTTAAAAATTTGCTATTTATCAATTGTATCTAGATGAACGCGTCAATGTCAATGGGACGGTACTAATGGATATTTTTGGTTGCTATTGAAAATTTAGTCGATTGCTGAATTTATGTATGCACTCAAATTAGGGTCACTTAGGCCGACATTACATACATTTCCCCTATTATTCGACTTGCTGATTTTTTTTTATTTGTTATTATAGTCGTCACTTTAACGCTCTTGGGTCATTCGTGACTTGTCTGGGATGAGATTTGAACTCGTGATTTTGGCGTGAGAGGTATGGATTCTAACCACTACGCCGGGGTCGCCCATTAGGTTTCATAATTCATTTTGTTACAAATAGACAAGCACAGAATTGACCTTAAAACATCCGCCATACAGTTCACTGTTTCCCATCGGAAGCCTTCTGCAGTTCCTTCATTGCCAGATCAATTTCCGCATACTGGATGTTGTGCTTTCTCCGAGCTTGTTCCTTCTCGTACTGCTTCTTATCCCGCAGGAAAGGAGCTAGCAATCGCTGATCGGTAATCTCCCCTCCGCCCGTCATAATACTGACAACGTAAGCCACCACAAAGTAAATGATAACTCCGAAAAGTGAATAATACATAAAGCTCAACTTGAAGACATGGGGGACATCATCTTGAATCGTGCTTGGTGCTGGAGGAACGATTGTTACATTCTGAAGTAGACTATCATCACATCCGTCGGTTCGGAATGGCATGTATGGTGGCTTTGGATTCAACTGAGCACCGATCAGGATCGTACTGATGGAGATCATGGACACTACAGAGCCTGCAATGACTCCCTTAGTATTTATAGTTGATGTAAGCATTCCGGAGGAGAACATTCCCAGCAGGGTTCCAGAAGTGACTCCCGATAGTGAGATGGCCATGTGCATCACTTGACCCATTTTCTCCGCTACGAACACCAGCGCGATGACGATGACTCCCAGTATCACAACTAGAATCTTCATCACGTTACTAGCGGTTTTTTCACTAGAATTTGGATAGCGATGTCTGATGAAATCTTCGTAAATCGTTCCCGCTAGGGTGTTCAAACTGGAGGACATTGTTGACAGTGCAGCTGAGAAGATTCCCGAAACGAAGAGTCCCGGAAGTCCAGGGATTTTCCCTCCCACATCCATGACGTAGTACGGGAGAATTTGATCCAGTTTACTGATCTTTCTTATGGTGTACGGATCACACGATTCGTACTTTGCGTACATCAGTAGTCCCGTGAAGCATGAACAACTTTTGATGAAAATCAATCCACCGGTAAAGATGATCAGCGAGTTTTTGGCCACCTTTAGATCCGGGACTGCCAGAAACCGTTGGACGCAACCTTGGCTCACGCCCAAATTGGCAATCCACATGGTTGACAGACCAAAAGTAACGGTCCAGAATGATGTCCGCACAAATGGGTCAGGATTCATGCTGAAAAATACAATTTGTCAGTAAATGTTGTGTGTTTGATTCAAAAGAAAGTTGCATATACTTGAAGAACACCAGTCGTCCACCTCGCTCGGCCGCTTCCCAGACCTCGAAAAATCCTCCCACACTGGCAATACCCAGGAATATGATGGCCAACGTTGCTCCAATCATCAGAATAAACTGCAGGGTGTCGGTCCAAACGACTGCACGCAATCCACCCACGGTTGTGTAGAAGATACAGATGATGCATATCACCGGTGTGATCAAGTGGAGATTTATTCCGGTGACTTGGCTGAAGGCCAGAGCCGGGACGTAAACCACTATCGGAATGTAGATCATGCAAGCTATAGCATAGACGAAGCTTGCAGCCGTGCGGACAGTACGATCGAATCGTGTTTCCAGGTATGTGAATACCGATGTCACTTGCAGGTCGTAGAACACCGGGAGGTAGATTTTTTCCATTAGGAGCGTGACCTGGATCGGAAGTGTAGTAAAGTTAGTTACTGGAGCTTTATGAAAATTATTTCTATTGATGGGAGGGAGTAACTTCTATTTCGGATTACAATTTTCTGAGCTAAAGGCAGTGATTTGCTGATCTTAATAAAATTTAAGTTTTACGATATTTTAATCCCACAATAACAATTGCGTACAGTCGAAGACAACATATCCAGAGGACTGGCAACTTTTCCATTTCCTCATACGACCACTATGAGACAGGCACAATCACGTCATCTGGCAAATGCTTCGAACGAATTTGATGGCAATGATTACAACCTCAGGAGAAAGGATTGTGTATTTGCTTATTTTTCAATAAGTTGCTTCCACCATCGCTCGAGCGCAGCGCTTCTGGGCTTTGCGCTTGGGTTTTGGCAAAGTTGCCAGTCTTCTTTGATAAGTGCAGTGACTGGTGTAGATTATTGAAGGCCAGGCCCCCTGCAGTATTTTGTAGGCCCCCTATAAATTTTGGAAAGTCAGAAAAATTCATAACTTTTGGTTCTTTATTTGCCTAATTTATGATTTATTAACTCACTCGTCGAGTGATCTATTTATAGATCAGTAACATTTTCAATCACTGTCGAGAAACTAGTGCTCAAAAGCTAAGCATGTCTTCACCAATATTATGCAATGGACCAATCTCTTAAAAATGGTAAACAATTTAGTTCGGAATTAACTCACCACAGTGTTTACAGAAACCTTCGTTTAATCAACTTTTATAGAATAAATTTCTCGTGATAGCGCGGTCAAGAAGATCAACATTACTGTGTAGTTTTTTGTTTCAAATTCTCTCACATGGTGGCTCAGTGTTCATGTGAAATTTGTGAACATGCAATATCTCATGATTCAGCCTTTAAACAAAGTTGTTGTTTTCTGCGGAGATCGAAGTGTGCTGTGCTCGTGAACGGACGCTTTTTTGTGTCCTCCCGTCATTTTTTCCAATTTTGTTCAATTTGAATTTTTTCTACATTTTGACTCGAGTGATTTTCAACTACGGACTTGCAGTGGCAACGGGTCGGATGCGCGGTTTATCGAGTATTGAAATAATGAAATTCCGAATTTGGACTGAACGCGAGCGAAGGGTGCAAAACGCGTTCCGCTGGTCAGCCGGTAGCAAGAAAGAAGCACTCGCAGCAGTAGCTCCACCGGGTGAAAAAAACTGCAGCCGGAATCAGACTAACGCTGGAGGAGCACGAGGATATTTCCAGCTTCCCGTCGGCGCAGTGGAGCTCCCTTGAACGGCGAATAGATCCGGATCAAGCAGCAAGAAGAGAAGTCTTTTACCCACGGAAGAGGAAACGAAGCAAATAGTGTTTGTAGTGTGTTGATGTATCTGTGTACAATGTGAACACCATCAACACATCTCAAGCTGTCTTTAGGTTCGATTGGCTAAACTTGGTAAGTTCGTTCCTTTTTGTTCATTTAATCTTTTCAATCCAGTAACGCTGGTAGATCACCTTTTCGTGTTGTGTTACTGGAACAAGATTTTTACCGAACTCTAGTTCTGAACAGGAGGGGAACAAGAGTTTTCACTGAGCAGGGAAACACACTTTAGACCTTGTTGTTTTTAATGCCTTGTTAATAGTGACAAGACTCGAGTATGTAGTTGTTGTTGCTGCCATGGTGATTGTATTTGGTGAGCTCGTTCCAGTTAAAAACAACCCGTTTGTTTCCTGCCGGTATAACCTCAATCGGGCGTGATCTATTTTGTGAGTGCAAGAACATAGTTGAGCCTTGTGGAGGGGAGGGGGGGAGGGGGTTGGTAAAGACATTAGGATTTATCCCAGGCTACTATTGTAGAAAATCGTAATTGATAGATATTGGGCGGAACGCGTCAGAATGTTTAGAAAAATAGGGCGCACGCTTGATCCAGCTTGGGATACATTGTTGACTGCTTTCGGGAACGTGATTTCATTTTAATAACTTGTTTAACCAGGGCCTAAACAGTCGTCACATTTGTCATAGCTTGTTATGATAGCCTGAACAATGCGTAAAGAGCAAAACGAATCATTGAACGTCGCGTAAAAGTGGAACTTAATGAAGGTCTACATGCTTTATCGTGACTTTTAGTTTTCGGATTAGAAAGATCATCGGTTGCAGGACAGTGTTGCCGATTTATATTGGATTATCCAAAATTATGTTGATCATTATAACATTAATTTTTGAATTACAAATGATAAGACAATCTTATTCAAATGCTGTAATAATACCTCTGACCAAGGTAAAATGATTTATATGGTTTTTTATAAAAAATGACGATTCCAATACTAATAAGGAAAGGATTTTCGCATTTCCTTTTCCCAAGTCCTTTTCCTCTCCTTCCTTTCCCTTCTTCTCTTTTCAGAAAGCGTGTAATGGCGCTATAACCATATGCCATATAGGGCTAGGACAAGAGTTAGTGCTCAGGTCCCAACCGCTGGAAGAAAATGGAGCATCACTTAACCTTTTTAGACTAGATGCTCCCAACGACAAATGATTTATAAATAACAATACAACGGAACATACGGTACAAGATGTCCACGTTTCATCCATTTATTGGATTCTGAAGCATCGTGTTTAGATCTTGGATTTAAACAGGCCTGATGTTTCTAAATCATCTTGCCCCTCAAATGCTGCACAGTAGGCCTGGCCGTTTTGATATATTTTGCGCATCTATGATGTGCAACATATACCAAATAGAAAAAAAAGTTATGGAAGTATATCTATCATTTTCTCGGATGCTTTCATGAACTGGCTGTGTTGGTGTTAGATTAGATTAGATTATATTAGATTAAACAAAGTTGTTGTTTTCTGCAATATTGTTCAGGAGGCCTAAGCCTTATGAATCGTGGAGAGTTCGGAATTCTCTTTCTAGGTGGCACTAGTATCCTTAAAAATGTCATGTACATTCAGAGTCATCATCTCGAGATCGTTGATATATGCAAAATTGTTGTTTTCTGCTATGACCTTTTGAATTGAGAACAGATCAGTTCGGAATTCTTGAACGAGCTGTGTTGCGTTTGCAACCGCTCGATGAACTCCTTGAAGAAATATGTTATATTGTTGTGTGTTTGTTTGTCGTTCTTCGGGATTTTCTCGAACATGCCCGTGCTGTCAATAATCACAGTCACAATAGATCAGGAAAGTTTAGTTCGGAATTCTATTACTAGGCATCACTAGTACTCTTATAAATTTCGTGTAAATGCAGGGTCGACATCTCAAGATCCTTGCTATTTGCAAACTTGCTGTTTTCTGCATTGTTGTTCATGAGACTAAGACCTTATGAATTGTGGAAAGTTTAGATCGGAATTCTCTCACTAGGTGGCACTTATTTTCGTAAGGGTTTCATGTAAATGCTTGGTCGAAATATCGAGATCTTTGACATATACAAAGTTGCTGTTTTCTGCATTGTTGTTCAGGATACTAAGACCTTTTGAATTCAGGACAGCTCAGCTCGGAGTTCTCTCACAAGGCAGCTAGTATTCCCATAAACTTCGTGTAAATGCAGGGTTGACATCTCGAGATCCCTACTACATACAAAGTTGCTGTTGTCTGCAATGTTGTTCAGGAGGTCTTGGCTTCTTGAATTGTGAACAATTTAGTTTGAAATCCTCTCGCTAGGTGGCACTAGTATTCTTATAAATTTTGCAGAAATAGTGGGTCGAAATGTTTATACACTGGAACCTCCATTTACGAACCAAAACGGGGGTTCGTAAATCGAATTAGTTCGTAAAAAAAACCCTCGTTATTTGGGATTTACTTCGTAAAAAGAAAACTCGTTATTTGGGATTTACTTCGTAAAAAGAGTTTTTTTTTAAATATTGTCAAATACCCCACAATATGGGTATTTTTGGAATCGGAGTTACGTGTAGGGACCGGATATCGATGTCTGACGCCATTTTGATAACCAAGATGGCGGCTTCCGGTTACATACAAACTTGGAAATTCTGTCAAATACTCCACAATATGGGTATTTTTGGAATCGGAGTGACGTGTAGGGACCGAAAATCGATGTGTGCCGCCATTTTGAAATTCAAGATGGCGGCTTCCAGATACAGAAAAACATGGAAATTCGGTCAAATACCACCCCACAATATGGGTATTTTGGAATCGGAGTGACGTGTAGGGACCGGAAATCGATGTCAGACGCCATTTTGAAATTCAAGATGGTGGCTTTCGGTTACAGTAAAATAGAAAAATACCGTTAAATACCCAACAATATGGATATTTTTGGAATCGGGCTGACTTGTGAGAACCGAGAATCCATGTCTGACGCCATTTAGAAATCCAAGATGGTCACATCCGGTTACAGAAACACTGGAAAATACTGTCAAATACCCCACAATATGGGTTTTTTTGGAATCGGGGTAACTTATTAGGACTGAAAACCCATGTCTTACGCCATTTTGAAATTCAATATGGCAAGTTCCGATTACATAAAAAATTAAAGGGTTGTGTCCTAGACACGACCGCCGTATGAAATAGAACTACGCAAAATTTAAGTACGTCATGCATTTTTGATTATTATACTTTATCTTAAATTTTTCAAGTATTTCAATGTTTCGGTTATGGTTCAAACTCGCGACAATTCATGTTAGCATAATCATACGACGGTTCATCGTAGGCATGAGATAATGAATTTAAATTTAATGTAATGGTTAAGAATTGACAGAATTTCCCCTACATAACTACCTTGGGTTGAGTTATTTTGCAGTGATCAATTTACACTAAATTTGACATCGACATCGACTACAATAGGAACTGATTGCCTTCCGCTAAGAGCTACATCTACCGTTTCAACTTCCCCACGTGTTTCTACTTGCCCCGGTGTAGGGTAATCGATTTTGGTTGGACCTATTCATGTCATTTAGCGTCTAAATGTATGCCGTGTTTTTTTCTATGAATATTACAAATGGACATGACAAATGTGTGTTTGGTGAAAAAGTCTAACTTTCTAGTTTCTAATAATACTAGAAAATGAACAATGTTCTCAAAATAGG